GAGAGAGGAGAGAGGAGAGAGAGGAGACAGAGGACAGGAGGAGAGAGGACAGAGAGAGAGACAGAGGAGAGGATGCAAGGAGAGAGACAGAGTGACAGAGGAGAGAGACAAGGACAGAGGAGAGGAGAGAGAGACAAGGAGAGAGAGACAGAGGAGAGAGACAGAGACAGAGGAGAGAGACAGAGGAGAGAGGACAGAGAGAGAGGACAGAGGAGAGAGGACAGAGGAGAGAGAGAGAGACAAGGGACAGAGGACAGAGGAGAGAGACAGAGAGAGAGACAGAGGAGAGAGAAGAGAGAGGACAGAGGAGAGAGACAGAGAGAGAGAGAGAGAGGACAGAGAGAGAGGAGAGAGGGAGAGGAGAGAAGAGAGAGAGACAGAGACCAGAGAGAGACCAGAGAGAGACCAGAGAGATACCAGAGGGAGGCCAGAGGGAGACCAGAGAGAGACCAGAGAGAGACCAGAGAGAGACCAGAGAGAGACCAGAGAGAGACCAGAGAGAGAGAGACCAGAGAGAGACCAGAGAGAGACCAGAGAGAGACCAGAGAGAGACCAGAGAGAGGCCAGAGAGAGAGACCAGAGAGAGAGACCAGAGAGAGAGACCAGAGAGAGAGACCAGAGAGAGACCAGAGAGAGGCCAGAGAGAGAGACCAGAGAGAGAGACCAGAGAGAGACCAGAGAGAGACCAGAGAGAGAGACCAGAGAGAGACCAGAGAGAGACCAGAGAGAGACCAGAGAGAGAGACCAGAGAGAGAGACCAGAGAGAGACCAGAGAGAGACCAGAGAGAGAGACCAGAGAGAGACCAGAGAGAGACCAGAGAGAGACCAGAGAGAGGCCAGAGAGAGACCAGAGAGAGAGACCAGAGAGAGACCAGAGAGAGGCCAGAGAGAGACCAGAGGGAGAGACCAGAGAGAGACCAGAGAGAGACCAGAGAGAGACCAGAGAGAGACCAGAGAGAGACCAGAGAGAGACCAGAGAGAGAGACCAGAGAGAGAGACCGGAGAGAGACCAGAGAGAGACCAGAGAGAGACCAGAGAGAGACCAGAGAGAGACCAGAGAGAGACCAGAGAGAGAGACCAGAGAGAGAGACCGGAGAGAGACCAGAGAGAGACCAGAGAGAGAGACCAGAGAGAGAGACCAGAGAGAGACCAGAGAGAGACCAGAGAGAGAGACCAGAGAGAGAGACCAGAGAGAGACCAGAGAGAGACCAGAAAGAGACCAGAGAGAGAGACCAGAGACAGACCAGAGAGAGACCAGAGAGAGAGACCAGAGAGAGGCCAGAGAGAGACCAGAGAGAGAGACCAGAGAGAGACCAGAGAGAGAGACCAGAGAGAGACCAGAGAGAGACCAGAGAGAGGCCAGAGAGAGAGACCAGAGAGAGACCAGAGAGAGACCAGAGAGAGACCAGAAAGAGACCAGAGAGAGAGACCAGAGAGAGACCAGAAAGAGACCAGAGAGAGAGACCAGAGACAGACCAGAGAGAGACCAGAGAGAGAGACCAGAGAGAGGCCAGAGAGAGACCAGAGAGAGACCAGAGAGAGACCAGAGAGAGACCAGAGAGACACCAGAGAGAGACCAGAAAGAGACCAGAGAGAGAGACCAGAGAGAGACCAGAGAGAGAGACCAGAGAGAGACCAGAGAGAGACCAGAGAGAGAGACCAGAGAGAGGCCAGAGAGAGACCAGAGAGAGACCAGAGAGAGAGACCAGAGAGAGAGACCAGAGAGAGACCAGAGAGAGGCCAGAGAGAGACCAGAGAGAGACCAGAGAGAGAGACCAGAGAGAGACCAGAGAGAGAGACCAGAGAGAGACCAGAGAGAGAGACCAGAGAGAGACCAGAGAGAGACCAGAGAGAGACCAGAGAGAGGCCAGAGAGAGACCAGAGAGAGAGACCAGAGAGAGACCAGAGAGAGGCCAGAGAGAGACCAGAGGGAGAGACCAGAGAGAGACCAGAGAGAGACCAGAGAGAGACCAGAGAGAGACCAGAGAGAGACCAGAGAGAGACCAGAGAGAGAGACCAGAGAGAGAGACCAGAGAGAGACCAGAGAGAGACCAGAGAGAGGCCAGAGAGAGGCCAGAGAGAGGCCAGAGAGAGACCAGAGAGAGAGACCAGAGAGAGACCAGAGAGAGACCAGAGAGAGAGACCAGAGAGAGACCAGAGAGAGAGACCAGAGGGAGAGACCAGAGAGAGAGACCAGAGAGAGACCAGAGAGAGAGACCAGAGAGAGAGACCAGAGAGAGACCAGAGAGAGAGACCAGAGAGAGAGACCAGAGAGAGACCAGAGAGAGACCAGAGAGAGAGACCAGAGAGAGAGACCAGAGAGAGACCAGAGAGAGAGACCAGAGAGAGAGACCAGAGAGAGACCAGAGAGAGAGACCAGAGAGACCAGAGAGAGACCAGAGAGAGACCAGAGAGAGAGACCAGAGAGAGACCAGAGAGAGACCAGAGAGAGACCAGAGAGAGACCAGAGAGAGACCAGAGAGAGACCAGAGAGAGAGACCAGAGAGAGACCAGAGAGAGAGACCAGAGAGAGAGACCAGAGAGAGAGACCAGAGAGAGAGACCAGAGAGAGAGACCAGAGAGAGAGACCAGAGAGAGACCAGAGAGAGAGACCAGAGAGAGACCAGAGAGAGAGACCAGAGAGAGACCAGAGAGAGACCAGAGAGAAACCAGAGAGAGACCAGAGAGAGAGACCAGAGAGAGACCAGAGAGAGAGACCAGAGAGAGAGACCAGAGAGAGAGACCAGAGAGAGAGACCAGAGAGAGAGACCAGAGAGAGACCAGAGAGAGACCAGAGAGAGACCAGAGAGAGACCAGAGAGAGACCAGAGAGAGACCAGAGAGAGGCCAGAGAGAGACCAGAGAGAGACCAGAGAGAGGCCAGAGAGAGACCAGAGGGAGAGACCAGAGAGAGACCAGAGAGAGACCAGAGAGAGACCAGAGAGAGACCAGAGAGAGACCAGAGAGAGACCAGAGAGAGAGACCAGAGAGAGAGACCAGAGAGAGACCAGAGAGAGACCAGAGAGAGGCCAGAGAGAGGCCAGAGAGAGACCAGAGAGAGAGACCAGAGAGAGACCAGAGAGAGACCAGAGAGAGACCAGAGAGAGGCCAGAGAAGAGAGAGACCAGAGAGAGACCAGAGGGAGACCAGAGAGAGAGACCAGAGAGAGGCCAGAGAGAGACCAGAGAGAGAGACCAGAGAGAGACCAGAGAGAGGCCAGAGAGAGACCAGAGGGAGAGACCGGAGAGAGACCAGAGAGAGACCAGAGAGAGACCAGAGAGAGACCAGAGAGAGACCAGAGAGAGAGACCAGAGAGAGAGACCAGAGAGAGACCAGAGAGAGACCAGAGAGAGACCAGAGAGAGGCCAGAGAGAGGCCAGAGAGAGACCAGAGAGAGAGACCAGAGAGAGACCAGAGAGAGACCAGAGAGAGACCAGAGAGAGGCCAGAGAGAGGCCAGAGAGAGACCAGAGAGAGAGACCAGAGAGAGACCAGAGACCAGACCAGAGAGAGACCAGAGAGAGAGACCAGAGAGAGACCAGAGAGAGACCAGAGAGAGACCAGAGAGAGACCAGAGAGAGACCAGAGAGACACCAGAGAGAGACCAGAAAGAGACCAGAGAGAGAGACCAGAGAGAGACCAGAGAGAGAGACCAGAGAGAGACCAGAGAGAGACCAGAGAGAGAGACCAGAGAGACCAGAGAGAGAGACCAGAGAGAGACCAGAGAGAGAGACCAGAGAGAGACCAGAGAGAGGCCAGAGAGAGACCAGAGAGAGAGACCAGAGAGAGGCCAGAGAGAGACCAGAGAGAGACCAGAGAGAGACCAGAGAGAGAGACCAGAGAGAGACCAGAGAGAGACCAGAGAGAGAGACCAGAGAGAGGCCAGAGAGAGACCAGAGAGAGAGACCAGAGAGAGACCAGAGAGAGACCAGAGAGAGACCAGAGAGAGAGACCAGAGAGAGAGACCAGAGAGAGACCAGAGAGAGACCAGAGAGAGACCAGAGAGAGACCAGAGAGAGAGACCAGAGAGAGACCAGAGAGAGACCAGAGAGAGAGACCAGAGAGAGACCAGAGAGAGACCAGAGAGAGGCCAGAGAGAGACCAGAGAGAGACCAGAGAGAGAGACCAGAGAGAGACCAGAGAGAGACCAGAGAGAGGCCAGAGAGAGACCAGAGAGAGAGACCAGAGAGAGACCAGAGAGAGGCCAGAGAGAGACCAGAGGGAGAGACCAGAGAGAGACCAGAGAGAGACCAGAGGGAGACCAGAGAGAGACCAGAGAGAGACCAGAGAGAGACCAGAGAGAGAGACCAGAGAGAGAGACCAGAGAGAGACCAGAGAGAGACCAGAGAGAGACCAGAGAGAGGCCAGAGAGAGGCCAGAGAGAGACCAGAGAGAGACCAGAGAGAGACCAGAGAGAGACCAGAGAGAGGCCAGAGAGAGGCCAGAGAGAGGCCAGAGAGAGACCAGAGAGAGAGACCAGAGGGAAAGACCAGAGGGAAAGACCAGAGGGAGACTAGAGATAGACCAATATTCCCAGGACCTAACACAGGCCATATTATTTGTACTTCATAGAATGTAGTATTATGGACCGTGGATCAGGTCCAGTAAAACTAAACTAAACTAAAAATATAAAAGAAAGTTTTGTAAAGTTTTGTAACGGAGGAATTTGAGAAAGTAAATATACGGAAAAGGCACACAGTCCCGCTTTAATAGTGTCTGCTCCACTGTATCTCCACAACTGTCCTTGTGTTTGTGCGTGTCTGCCCCGTGCGTGTCTGCCCCGTGCGTGTCTGCCCCGTGCGCGTATGCCCCGTGCGCGTCTGTCCCGTGCGCGTCTGTCCCGTGCGTAACGTGTCCCGCTGCGGACAGTCCGGTCCACGTCAGCGATCATAAACTTCCCCCGGAGTCCGTAGCCTGATCCCGGCCTCAGCAGAGGAGCTCTGACGCTGAGACTCCTCCACAGACCAGGACCGTCTCCTGTGGTGCAGCCGCATACCGGGACTTACCCTCGGGGACCGCGCGGCCGGAGTGGGGGCCCCAGAGCAGGAGGCCCCAGAGCAGTAGGCTCATCCACCGCAGGCTCATTGTGGAGGTCTGTGGGCGCACGCACTGTGGAGGTGTCCGGCCGGAGGAACATTCCACACGGGTCCCAAACTTCTGCACACTCCGCCCTCAGCACGGAGAACCCGGCCCCCTCCCCCCTCTCCCCCTCCTCCCCCCTCTCCCCCTCCTCCCCCCTCTCCCCCTCCTCCCCCCTCTCCTCTCCCTGTGCCACAAACAGAGCTGTATTTAAGACTAGAGAGAGCGGCCTCATGCTCGGACCATCACCAGCTCCACTGGATGTTGTTTTTAAAGTGCTTTATAAATAAATTTGAATTGAATTGATGCAAAACTCTACTGTAGAAATCATGAACCAAATGTCCTGGTCCAGGTGCAGAGGTCCTGGTCCTCACCAGGTCCAGAGGTCCTGGTCCTCTCCTGGTGCTGAGGTCCTGGTCCTCACCAGGTGCTGAGGTCCTGGTCCTCACCAGGTGCTGAGGTCCTGGTCCTCACCAGGTGCTGAGGTCCTGGTCCTCTCCCTGTGCTGAGGTCCTGGTCCTCTCCTGGTGCTGAGGTCCTGGACCTCTCCTGGTGCTGAGGTCCTGGTCCTCTCCTGGTGCTGAGGTCCTGGACCTCTCCTGGTGCTGAGGTCCTGGTCCTCTCCTGGTGCTGAGGTCCTGGTCCTCTCCTGGTGCTGAGGTCCTGGTCCTCTCCTGGTGCTGAGGTCCTGGTCCTCACCAGGTGCTGAGGTCCTGAACCTCTCCTGGTGCTGAGGTCCTGGTCCTCACCAGGTGCTGAGGTCCTGGACCTCTCCCTGTGCTGAGGTCCTGGTCCTCACCAGGTGCTGAGGTCCTGGACCTCTCCCTGTGCTGAGGTCCTGGTCCTCACCAGGTGCTGAGGTCCTGGTCCTCTCCTGGTGCTGAGGTCCTGGTCCTCTCCCTGTGCTGAGGTCCTGGTCCTCTCCTGGTGCTGAGGTCCTGATCCTCTCCCTGTGCTGAGGTCCTGGTCCTCTCCCTGTGCTGAGGTCCTGGTCCTCACCAGGTGCTGAGGTCCTGGTCCTCTCCCTGTGCTGAGGTCCTGGTCCTCTCCTGGTGCTGAGGTCCTGGTCCTCTCCTGGTGCTGAGGTCCTGGTCCTCTCCTGGTGCTGAGGTCCTGGTCCTCTCCTGGTGCTGAGGTCCTTCTTCAGGAGGAGTTCCAGTCTCTCAGGTTTCAGATTGACAGCCGTCTGCACTGATGCAGTCGCTGTAACAGAGGGAGCAGCGTCTGCTCTCAGAGCTCTGGATGATGTTTGAATCATAGTATATATATAATATATATATATAGTATATAATATATATAGTATAATATAAGTTTGAATACATTTGTGACAATCCCACTTCATATTAAAATGACAGACACCTGTCTGTGTTCTGTTCACTCTCTGCCCCTCTGTAAACACAAGATGGCCGCCACAGCTGCTCCCTCTAGCGCGGAGTCACACTGAACTACAGACATGAGCCTCATACACAGACACAGAGACAGAGACAGAGGGACAGACACAGACACAGACGCAGAGACACAGAGACAGAGACAGACACACAGACAGAGACACAGACAGAGACAGACACAGAGACAGAGACAGAGGGACAGACACAGACACAGACACAGACACAGACGCAGAGACACAGAGACAGACACAGAGACAGACACACAGACAGAGACAGACACAGACACAGAGACAGACACACAGACAGACACAGAGACAGACACAGAGACAGACACAGAGACAGACACAGACACAGAGACAGACACAGAGACAGACACAGAGACAGACACAGACACAGAGACAGACACAGAGACAGACACAGAGACAGACACAGACACAGAGACAGACACAGAGACAGACACAGAGACAAACACAGAGACAGAGACAGAGGGACAGACACAGAGACACAGAGACAGACACAGACACAGAGACAGACACAGAGACAGACACAGAGACAGACACAGAGACAGACACAGAGACAGACACAGAGACAGACACAGACACAGAGACAGACACAGACACAGAGACAAACACAGAGACAGACACAGAGACAAACACAGAGACAGACACAGAGACAGACACAGAGACAGACACAGACACAGAGACATACACAGAGACAGACACAGAGACAAACACAGAGACAGACACAGAGACAAACACAGAGACAGACACAGAGACAGACACAGACACAGAGACAGACACAGAGACAGAGACAGACACAGAGACAGACACAGAGACAGACACAGAGACAAACACAGAGACAGACACAGAGACAGACACAGAGACAGAGACAGAGACAGACACAGAGACAGACACAGAGACAGACACAGAGACAGACACAGAGACAGACACAGAGACAGACACAGAGACAGACACAGAGACAGACACAGAGACAGACACAGAGACAGACACAGAGACAGACACAGAGACAGACACAGAGACAGACACAGTGGAACACTGTTCTCTGGTTTATGAACTTATTGAGGATCTCTGCTCTCATGTAGTAGTTACAATAAAAGTTTGTGAGAGTTTGTGAAGGAACAGGGAGGGAGGGGAGGGAAAGAGAGGGAGGGGAGGGAAAGAGAGGGAGGGGAGGAGGGAGGGGAGGAGGGAGGGGAGGGAAAGAGAGGGAGGGGAGGAGGGAGTTGCCTGGCCTGCCAAACGATATGCTTTTTCAAAGACATATAGTCTGGGAACGAGCTTGATCTCAGCGAATTCCCGGTGGGCGTGGTTGACAGACTGCATCAACCAATTAGATGCATACAGGATATGACGCAGCAACTAGCGGCACCCAAGCCGTTTCAGTAAACACAAAACAAGGGATGGCGGCATGTCAGCTAGTGCAAATGTAAACGACTGCTGTCGATTTTGTAAAAAAAACTTAAAGATACGAGGAGTTATTAGCAACTCAAAGGTGAAAGGAAGTCCCGCCTCTCGGTGCGTGATTGGACCGATGTGGGTAAAATCGTGAAATGATAGGCTAGGAAGAGGTGTCCAGACGGTTCTTCTTTTGAACAGAAAGGATGAGTGTCTGGCAGGCCAGGCAAAGGAGGGAGGGGAGGAGACGTGAGCAGCCGCACGTAGCTGAGGTCTGCGCTGAAATCACAGTTTGGCTCAAACACCTTCAGCAGCTGCGAAAACACAGAAACAAAGACCAGTCCGAGTCCAGACCAAGGCTCAGGTCTCAGACTCGGTCCTCAGGTCTCAGACTGGGTCCTCAGGGCTCAGACTCGGTCCTCAGGTCTCAGACTCGGTCCTCAGGTCTCAGACTGGGTCCTCAGGGCTCAGACTCGGTCCTCAGGTCTCAGACTCGGTCCTCAGGTCTCAGACTGGGTCCTCAGGGCTCAGACTCGGTCCTCAGGTCTCAGACTCGGTCCTCAGGTCTCAGACTCGGTCCTCAGGGCTCAGACTCGGTCCTCAGGGCTCAGACTCGGTCCTCGGGGTCTCAGACTCGGTCCTCAGGTCTCAGACTCGGTCCTCAGGTCTCAGACTCGGTCCTCGGGGTCTCAGACTCGGTCCTCAGGTCTCAGACTCGGTCCTCAGGTCTCAGACTCGGTCCTCAGGGCTCAGACTCGGTCCTCGGGGTCTCAGACTCGGTCCTCAGGTCTCAGACTCGGTCCTCAGGTCTCAGACTCGGTCCTCAGGTCTCAGACTCGGTCCTCAGGTCTCAGACTCGGTCCTCAGGTCTCAGACTCGGTCCTCGGGGTCTCAGACTCGGTCCTCAGGTCTCAGACTCGGTCCTCAGGTCTCAGACTCGGTCCTCAGGTCTCAGACTCGGTCCTCAGGGCTCAGACTCGGTCCTCGGGGTCTCAGACTCGGTCCTCAGGTCTCAGACTCGGTCCTCAGGTCTCAGACTCGGTCCTCAGGTCTCAGACTCGGTCCTCAGGTCTCAGACTCGGTCCTCAGGGCTCAGACTCGGTCCTCGGGGTCTCAGACTCGGTCCTCAGGTCTCAGACTCGGTCCTCGGGGTCTCAGACTCGGTCCTCAGGTCTCAGACTCGGTCCTCAGGTCTCAGACTCGGTCCTCAGGTCTCAGACTCGGTCCTCAGGTCTCAGACTCGGTCCTCAGGTCTCAGACTCGGTCCTCAGGTCTCAGACTCGGTCCTCAGGTCTCAGACTCGGTCCTCAGGTCTCAGACTCGGTCCTCAGGTCTCAGACTCGGTCCTCAGGTCTCAGACTCGGTCCTTTTATTTGATGTAGTGACTCCAACAATGAAACTCCCAGAGCCGTTATTTTGACTGCTCCCATTTAAACCCACGGAATTCAGAGAAATTCCCCCAAAAAATATATTAATTTTTCACCAAATTTTAAAAAAGTACATTATTTATAAGTTTTTATTTCAAACTCATTTTTACTAACTGCAAACCCAGTTTGTTGAGGATAATGCTAACTGCTGACAGTAAACCAAGCTGAACTAGTCCAAGACCAGTGCAAGACCAGTCCAAGACCAGTCCAGGACCAGCACCTTGAACCAGGGGTTTTATTTGCCACAGGAAATGGCTACGTTTGACTGTTGGAACTGATCAGATTTCAAAGTAAAAGATAATTTTATAAAAACAAGGACATAGAAATAAACTTCACACAGAAACAGAAAAGACCACAAATGTACACTCAGGAAATTCACTTCCAAAACTAAAAACCGTCAAATCGACTGATCTTCAATTATCTTGTGCTGTGTGCTCCTCATTCCAACTGTTCTGTATCTTGTAATGTAACACTGGAATTTCTCTGTGGGAGGAATAAAGGATCTCTTCATCTTAATCTGAAACCCAGGCCTATGGCGCCCCCACCTGCGCATTTAAGGAAGTACACCTGAACCAACCCCTCACGTTCCAGCGCTATAACTTCAAAACCTGGTACATGTTTCCCCCTGTCCCTTCTGTAAAATGCTCCTAAATCAATCTTGGTACACTTGGTAAACTGTGACATCATGGATCTTCATTTAGCTAAAAAAAATAAAATAAGGTGTAATTAGACCCAATGGTTGGAAAATAATAAATGACAAACCGTATAAAGTGAGAGTTTGGATACAGCTGTCTAACGCATAAACGGAAACTAAATACTAACGGCTTTAACGGCTTTGCGGACTGTTCCCCTCGACACTTAACGACACGGATCTGAGGCTATGCTTGTGAACGTTTACTCTGGTTTGTGTTGTAGCGTCCGAAAGTGCGGTTGACGCTGAAGCCAGAACTGATTTAAATTAAGTTTATTTTGTCCATTCCCTTTTAGTCAAATAACCAACGTAATCGCTAGAACATAAGTTAAATCCTATCTTACAGTACTGTCTAATTACAAACCGTTATCTTGCAATTACTATTATTTTATATACTCAACAAACTTTACCATTTTTACACATTTCAAATCAATGTATGCCTTGTTGCCACTATCATCTGAAGCTAAACCCTGTTGTCTTTACTTTTATCCCGTGTTAACTCTTTGTTTGTGTTGCATCGTGGCCAGTAATAACGACAGAAACATCTCTGATGAACAGGTTACAACATAGTTATGTCACAGTCAGTGGGGGAGGGTCCCGGCTCAAAAGTGGCCAAAATGACGTGCGCTGACATGCTGCAATACCACCCCGGGCCTGTGGGGGTGGACCCAGAAGTAGAATTAGCCAATGCTAACATATAGCCTTGGCAGACCTGTCAAAAACGTCTTTACAGGATGGACCAAAAGTTGTCTCTTGGCCCAAAGCTCCGTTCCACATGTGTGTCAATGCTGAGTGTTCTGGACCAGTCTAGTTTAGTCGCTGTGGACTTTAGAAGTCTCTCGTTCAAATGAATGGAGCTGCGCCGGCTGACGCATGCGCAGATGCGTTTTTTCACAATTTTCTTGTGGGCGGGACCACTCACGGCCATCTTGGATTGCTCCATGAAAGCACTTTTCATGGCCAACTCCTATGAACGGCGGAGATAGGCGTGACTCTGTCCATTAACATATACAGTCTATGGTCTCAACACTGAGCACTTAGCTCTCAACAAAGCGAGTGCGCCCTCTAAGGGTGAACTACGGTATCACTTATAGACAGATAATACACATACTATTATCAATATATCACATCTCCCCCACCTTTAAGCGAACAACCCCTAATACAGTTAGGTAACAATCAAAATTGTAAATACAGTTTACAAAATAACCTGTAAATAAAACTCAAAGTGACTAAGAAACTAACTAAGCAATTAGCTCACTCTGTTGTAGTCCCTAAGATGAACAGGTATACGTTTCTCCCTAATGGAACGTTTCCTCACTGTCTCAAAAGGTAAAACTGAAACACTCTTGCTCTCTGGGCTACGTGGTAACTCTGGCGTAATGGCCTGATCTGGAACAAGGTTTGGTTGTTCTTGTACTAACTCAACAGTAATTGGGTTACTCTCTGGAATCAACGGTAAGTTAACCTCTCTCTCTGTAGTTAACTCTGGATCGGCCACTCTAGATCTAACCTGATCTACATGCCTTTTCATCACCTGACCAGAACCAATAGTAACTGCATAAGACAGGGGTCCTGAGCTATCTTGTATCACACCAGGAATCCATTTTGGGCCATAGGCATAATTCCTGCTGAGAACATCATCTCCCGCTGCAAAGTTCCTCTGTTTGCTGTGAGTGTCATGATATTGTTTTTGTTTCAGCTGCTTTTGTTGCACATTTGTTTTCAAGTCCGGAACCACTAAATCCAGAGCCGATCTCAGTTTCCGTGACATCATCGACTCTGCTGGTGTCACAAGCTGGCTCTATGCTTGTGTCAAAATGAGGGACAGACAGGTAGGGTCATTTACATATTTATTGTAAATAATGAAAACAACGAACAACAGTAATAATCAACAAGAATGAGGTGTGAGTATGTGAGCAGTGGAATGTGTGCAGTGTGTGTAAGTCAGTGAATGAAAACCAGTGTATGTGTGCGTACTAGTGATGTGCTGAGCGGGCCGAGTCTTCGAAGCGTGGACCGAGTAATCTGGGGGCGTTTGTTTTGAAGTGTGGGTCGAGGCGTGTATTGGTCACGTGTGTGATGACGTTCGAAGCCTCGCGAACGGCCGTACCACGTGACTGATTCAGGAAATGATTCGTTGGTTTGGAGCGCGATTCGAAATAAAAGGGACGAGTGAATGCAATGGATTCCCCTTCATCACTTTGTGTGTTTTTGGGTTATTGCGCTTCTCATTTGGCATCCTATTTGGCATCCTATTTGAGCTTCTTTTTTGCGATGGAACCGGCAAGAAAGAGAAGATTTTCTCCAGTTTGGGAGCACTTTGAGCAGATCTCACCTAATAAGGTAAGGCATATCAATAATTCTGTAATAATAGATTACACAAATATGACAACACATAATTTCTCTTGCTCACTTTTCTCTGTTATAAATACGTTTGAATAATAGTTTTTTCAATTGCAGGTGAAGTGTCTGTTATGCTCCAAACAACTGGGTTATAATAATAACACCTCAGCTATGCTAAGGCACTATCGTGCCTTGCATAGAAATGTGGATTCCAACCCAGGTGAACCTGTCTCGGGTAGGCCATTTTATATCATGATAATAATTGATGATTGTCCTACAATTACACTAAATATATTTTATTTGAATGTATTTGTTCATTAGATAAATTTCTAACCCTAATGTGCATTTTCTTTCAGCTGAGACGGTTGACTTGACTGAGGCGTTGGTGGATATGGTGATTGAGGATTCCCAGCCCTTTTCCATTGTGGAGGGAACTGGCTTCCGAAAGCTTGTGAAAGCTTTGGCACCATCTTATGTTCTTCCCATGCGGCAGGTATTTATGTGAACTATTAACAATTTATTATCCTCAGATCCACTATTTCAAGACTTTACTTTTTTCAGACTTTGAAAGCCATGGTGGAGAAGAGATACAGGGAAGCCAAAGACAAGGCCAAAGTGGTGGTGTCTTCTGCATCTGCTGTTAGTTTAACAGCAGACATGTGGACCTCCATCAACACTGATGCTGTTAGTTTAACAGCAGACATGTGGACCTCCATCAACACTGATGCTGTTAGTTTAACAGCAGACATGTGGACCTCCATCAACACTGATGCTGTTAGTTTAACAGCAGACATGTGGACCTCCATCAACACTGATGCTGTTAGTTTAACAGCAGACATGTGGACCTCCATCAACACTGATGCTGTTAGTTTAACAGCAGACATGTGGACCTCCATCAACACTGATGCTGTTAGTTTAACAGCAGACATGTGGACCTCCATCAACACTGCTGCTGTTAGTTTAACAGCAGACATGTGGACCTCCATCAACACTGATGCCGATCTTGCAGTGACTGGTCATTTTATTGACGAGAGCACTTCTCTGCAGACTGTTGTCCTTGGGGTGCAGCATTTCCCTGAGGCACATACAGCAGCAAATCTAGCGAGAGTGATGACCTCTCTTATGTCAGAGTGGGGTTTAGCAGGAAAGGTGACATGTCTGGTGACTGATGGTGCTGCGAATATGGGAGCTTGTGCTCGAGAGCCGCATATGCGTCACACAATTTGTGTGGCACACACGCTAAACTTAATGATCAAAAAAGCTCTCGACCAAAGTCCAGAGTTGTGTGACATCAGGACAAACTGTCGTAAGATAGTAGGATACTTTAAGAGCAGCACTACTGCAAAGGTAAGGTCCTTACTTGTAATATGTCAATTATTATTTCTGCTCCTGCACTGTTTTAATTTGTTGACTGTTTTATAGGAGAGACTTACACAGTATCAATCACAAATGGGTCTCTCCGTGCTTAAACTTATTCAAGAGGTGGATACAAGATGGAACAGCACGTACTTAATGCTTCAGCGTCTGTTCAACCTGAGAGAGCCTGTTGGAGCAGCTTTGGCTCCAGACATTACACAAATCTCAGCAGAACAATATAACATCATTGCAGACTGTCTGAAGGTGCTCGCTCCATTCTACTATGCCACAATTGAGGTGTCCGAGGAGAAAAGAGTCTCTGGGTCAAAAGTAGTTCAACTTTTGACCATTCTCCATAATGCGCTGGAAGAAGAGATCGGCCATATCCAAACACCTGAGAGCAGAGACATGGCTGAGTATTTGCGAAGACAACTGAGGGACAAGCTCAGCCACCTCCAATCAATGAGCATCATGTCCCTCTCTACCTTGCTTGATCCCAGATTTAAAAAGATTGGATTCTTCAACCCCAATAAGGCAGCAGAAGCTGAAAAAAGATTGATTGGCGAATGTGCTCGAGTTTTGAGACTTTCATTGTCCGCTTCTGCTTCATCATCATCATCACCATCATCATCATCTGTAGCTGAAGGTAATATGTATACTCTATTTGTGCTAATAAGTCACTTATAACCTGTTTATTCTGTTTTAGGGAGCAAACTGTGGCAACGTTTTGAGACGACATGCCAGCAGACCAAAATCCCAAACATAACTGCCAACGCTACAGTGGAGGTCCAAACATACCTGGGGGAGCCAAATATTCCTCGACTCGAAAGTCCCCTTCAATATTGGGACAAACATAAGTTTACATTTCCAAATTTATATAAACTTGCCATTACATATTTATGTTCACCTGCATCCTCTGTGCCCTGTGAACGGGTTTTTTCAAAGGCAGGTGAAATACTGTGCAAAAAAGAAATCGCCTGAGTCCAAATACTCTTGAAAAATTATTATTTTTGAATAAAAATGAATAACTGTATGGTTTGTTTTTCAACTCCTGTCAATAGTTTCATAAGCACTTACATAAACAAAGTAACACAAGCACATTTTACATAACAACTGTCTCCACATCATTGGCTGTATTCTTTCAGCCCATGTTCAGACCCTACCATTTGTTATACACCCTTGGCATGTATTACATTTCTTTGTCCACATGATGGCGTAGTGGAGCATGATTCACCTCGAGCCTTCGACTCATGGGCCGAGTAATAGGCTGCGATCCCTCAAGGCTTCATGGGGCTTCATATTGCCATCACTAGTGCATATGTCTGAGTGTGAAAACAAAGCTAATCTTAACGAATGACGACACAAAGAACCAAAGATCCAGTACCTGGAGGGAGCAGAGCAGAGACCAAGTGTTAGTGACACACACACATTTAAGCACAGGAGCCCCAATCACTGGATCCACCCTGCCTGAGAGGGAAACGCCCCTGTCAGGCAGGGAGGGGCCGTGACACAAACCTGTCGTGGCATGAGGTGTAATTCTGTAACTAAACAAGAATCTTGAAAGCCTAGTTTGTATTGTCCCTTCTTTCATCTTTTTCATCCCCTCTTTGAAAGTTTGAACTGCTCTTTCTGCAAGTCCATTTGAAGACGGATGAAACGGGACATGTCGAATACCTAGCTTCTCAATGGTCACTTGAGAAGAGCTTGTCTTGGTAGGATATAGATCCAACCACTTGGAGTGAGCATCCACTATCACGAGGAACATTTCTCACAGGAACGGACCGGCATAGTCCACATGAATCCTCGACCATGGACTCTCAGGCCATTCCCATGGGTGTAACGGTGCTGGAGCGGGTGCCTTTTGGTGGGACTGACACTCATGACACGCTTGAACCGTTTTTTCAACATCATGATCCATTCCTGGCCACCACATGTACGATCTTGCCAGGCCTTTCATTTTTGTCATTCCACTGTGAGTTTGATGTAGTAGTTTGAGCATTTTATCTCTTCCTTTGGTGTTACTACTCTTGCCCCCCAGAGAACACAGCCATCTCTTACGCTGAGCTCCATTCTTCTCTGGTGAAAAGGTTTAAGACTCAGATCAGTAACTGTAGGCCTTCCTTTTAGAATGTATTCATGCACTTGTGATAATATAGGATCTTTGGTTGTCCAGTTCTTTATTTGACTCGCCTCGATCAGTGTCTCATCCAGTAAGTCCATCATTAAAACTTGCTCGGTTCTCTCCTCCTTCCTTAGTTTGCCCGGTAGAGGCAACCTGCTCAATGCATCCGCATTAGAATGGTTTTTTCCTGGTTTATACACAATATTGTACTTGTATGCACTCACCTTTGAACTCTCGGCGATCCCATTTGTGGTATCGGTTTCTTCTCATTAAACAGATAAATTAGTGGTTTGTGGTCTGTATAAATGGTGAAGTTGTGCCCGTAAAAGTATTTGTGAAACTTTTCAACACCAAATATGACAGCAAGTCCTTCTTTGTCTAGTTGAGAGTATCTTGTCTCAGCCGGTTGTAACGTACGTGATACAAATCCAATTGGTCTTTCACTTCCATCTTCCATGATGTGTGATAACACAGCACCTACTCCATACGGTGAAGCGTCACATGATAACAACAGCTCACGGTCAGCTGAGTAATGTATCAAAACATCAGTCGACTTCAACATGTCTTTAGCATTTTGAAACGCTTGTTCTTGCTCTGTGCTCCATTTCCACCGAACATCCTGTCTTAGCAGTTCGTGTAAAGGAGCCAACCTTGTTGCCAGGTTGGGAAGGAACTTGTTGTAATAATTTAGTAACCCCAAAAACGATTTCAACTCAGTCACATTTGTAGGGGCAGGAGCATCTTGGATTGCTTTGACTTTTTTATCCAGAGGATGTAATCCCTGTGCATCAACTCTGTACCCTAGGTACTCCACTTCATTTTGCATGAAGGTGTTTGCTCCTCCTGAGACGAAGCCCCGCCTCCTTCAGCCTCGTCAACACAGTATTTAGATTATGTAAATGATCCGCTTCATTTACCCCACTCACCAAAATATCGTCCAAATAGACAGATACGAGCGGAATCCCATTTAATAGACTCTCCATTGTCCTTTGAAAAATGGCTGAAGCTGAAGCCACACCAAAGGGTAGTCTATTGTATGTGAACAGTCCCCTGTGCGTGTTTACTGTGAGGTATTTCTTTGACTCGTCATCCATGAGTATTTGTTGGTAAGCATGACTCATATCCAGTTTTGAGAACTGTACACCTTTGGAGAGAGCATTGAACAAATCATCCACTTTGGGTATCGGATATTGCTCCAGAAAGGAAACAGTATTCACCGTTAATTTGTAATCTCCACACAGCCTCACTGAACCTGCTGGTTTCAGTATTGGTACCACTGGAGCGGCCCAATCAGAGTATGTCACTGGTGTGATAATGTCTTCTTTCAATAATCTGTCAATTTCCTCATCCACTTTTCCTTTCATGGCATAAGGAATTGACCTGGGCCGGAAGAATCGGGGTACAGCATTTTCCTTTATGTGGAGCATGTTCCCAACTCGTCCTTAAACACAACCTCATTATTGCACAGCACTTCCTGAAGCGTTGTCTTCTTCACTGAGTGGACATGGTGAACATGACGAGCTTCACGTCTGGCTTTCACCTCTTTCCAGTCCAGGTGAATGTCCTCAAGCCAGCCTCTGCCCAGTAGAGTGGGACCATCAGGGTCCTGTATATGGATTCACTTTCCTCAAATGTATTTCACTCATGCGTCCCAGTTTGAATTCCATGCACTGTAAAGCAAAAGGACCATCTTCAGAGCTGTCAGAGCTGCTATCTTCTTGTTCTTGGACATTATGTGAACGATAACTTGAGTTCTTTTTGTCCCTTATAAAAGCACCAGATTTTCCTTTATCGTGTTTACTCTTATTCATAGACGTCGGGACTAGGGGTGCGGGGGGTGCGGCCGCACCCCCTCCCTTCCGACCTTGTATAGGTCAGAAGCCATCAGTCCCACAGAAAATAATAATAAAACATACATTTTCAATGTGTTTCGTCTGTCTTGCATTTAGATGTATCTTGTTTCTGTGATGGCTTCATACAACTCAATGTGACGTAGGTTATTTATAATTAAAAAAATAATAAATAAATAAAATATATATTGTTTCGCGGGCATTGTTGTTGTTTGTTCCCGCGCATCAGCTATTGTTAGCCTTCGTCACATAGACTGTCATAGCAAGATCAACAGATTCAGTTATGGCTCAGAAAAGAATTTCTTCATACTTTTTGAAAGCGGCCGACCCAGCGAAGCATCCAAGAGCGACACCTGGAGCTCAGAGTGTGCCAATGAGTGTACCGGCAACCAGACAGCAGCTGGCAGCAGCGGAGGATCCTCGTCCTCCCTCCCCAGTGCGACCCGGTGCTAGCCAAGAGGCTATATCTTTTAAACCACCCCAAGGGTATAATTTTCCTGTCAAAAAGTTCAGCGGTGAGAACTTCAGTCGTTCTTGCAAGGCCGCTTGGTTCAGGGAATGGCAGTGGCTGGAGTACATTGCGGCCAGTGATGGCATTGTGTGTGGTGTGTGCAGGTCAGCTGTCAAAGGCAAGTTGATTGTGTCAGAATCCGAAAGTCAGTTTTTGAATGATAACGGCTTTTCAAATTGGAGAAAAGCAACGGAAAAGATCAGAGACCATGAAAAGACCCGCATTCATTTAGATGCAACCCAAAGATTGGCTGCATTGAAAAGCACGCCAATAAATGCGCTACTCTCCGAGGCCGCTGCTAAGGACCAGAGAACAGCGCGGAAAATGCTGGAGCTCATTTTCAGCAGTGTAAGATTCCTGGGGCGCCAGGGACTCCCTCTGAGAGGAGCTGCCAATCGGGATGGGGTGTTATGGCAGCTAATGATGGAAAGAGTGCGCACTGATCCTGATATGGAGAAGTGGATGCAAAGGAGAGACAACTGGCTGTCCGGCAGCATCCAAAACAAAATTCTGGAGCTCTTTGCGCATTACATCCAGAGAAACATCGGAGCCAAAGCAGCCCAAAGTCCTTTTTTTGGCTTAACTGCGGATGGGACCACTGACTTGAGTGGCAAAGAGCAGTTTTCAATCAATGTTCAGTTTTCTGATGACAATCTGGACGTTCAGAATTTCTTTTTGGGATTTTATAACGCCCCGGACACAACCGCAGAGATGCTCTTTTTATGTATAAAAGACGTCCTCGTTCGACTCAACTTGCCTTTGGAGAAGCTGAAAGGCTACTGTTTTGATGGAGCCAGCAACATGTCTGGGAGGTTCAGGGAGTACAGGCAAGATTGAAGGAAACATGTCCTGACTCTGTGTTTGTTCATTGTGCAAATCACTCTCTGGATTTAGTGCTGCAAGAAGTGGCAAAAGAAGTGCGCCTTGTTGCTGATACATTGAACTTCGTTCGAGAAGTCACAGTAACCATAAATGAATCAGCAAAAAGAAAAAACCTTTATCAGTCTATTTTCGGATGTGGAGAAGTGGTTAACCTGCTTTCCCTGTGCCCAACTCGGTGGTGCGTCAGGGTTGCGGCACTGTCGCGGTTGCTGACCTGCTATGGAGAGATGCTGCAGACATTTCAAACCTTGGAGAATGACAGGACTGTCAGGGGGGAGACGCGCGCAAAAGTGGCAGGCCTGATCAAAAAGGCCACTACTACGCGCACGGTTTTTGGTTTGTTTGCTTGTGTTGCTGTGTTTTCCCCATGTGAATCGGTGGCTCGGTCACTACAAGGCACTAAAGTCACTGCCCTTGGATCAATGGAAGCTGCAAAACTTCTTTGCCAGCGATTGAGCACACTGCGACAGGAGGCCACCTTCGTCGATCTTGTGGGCAAGACGAAGCAATATGAAGACCGCTACAATCTACAGTGGCCACCACAGCAAGCGCGCACCAGCAAGACCCCAGTGCGTTTTCGCCATACAACGGAGAAGGAGGATAAAGAGTTGGGAGATAAAGAGGGTAAATAAATAAATCATAATAATGCCAACTGTATTTTGAAACAAAGGAACGTCGCTTACAACATCAGCATGTATTAAAATGCAACAAATACGCACAGATAGTATGGCTGCCTATGGTTCTAATAACTTGTGGAGATGAAAATATGTAAATAATACTATACTACACAAACATCATAGTACACCTTAGAAATTAGCTTGGAATTAATATGTACACAATTAATAATACACAAACGATGTATATCATGAAAAATTGGAACATGCAAAAGTAAGAAATCAAATTTGAGCACGTTTAAATAGGCAGCTCATATAAAATTGTATTGTTGTTTAAGTGATAT